AATCAAAAGGGATATTGTTGCTATGAACCTACTTCTGGTAAACGGTTTGTTTCTATGGATGTGACTTTCTTTAAGGATGTTCCCTACTATCACAGAGTTTCTTCTCAAAGGGAGAGTAGTGAGATGGGTTTACCCACTCAGAAATTCCTTTACCTGTCCCAATTACTGAAGGGGAGTGTAATGAGGAGGGTTGTCAAAAGTGTAGGGAGTTGAGGGTGTTTCATAGGCGGTGGAGACAAGTTGATATCGGTCCTCAGTAGTCCAGGCTAGCTCCAGTTTCCTCTGCGGCTCCGGATCTAGGTACTACAGCTTCCTCACATCCTACTCTAGATGAGATATCTCCCATTACTGAACCTAATGAGATGCCTCCTATTACTGAGCCTTCACCTCCTTTGGATGATCTTGATCTTCCAATTGCTATCCGTAAAGGGAAACGCCATTGCACTTCATCTACAACACATTGTATTTCTCAATATCTGACTTATGACCATTTGCCTCCATCCTAAAAGTCCTTTTTGGCATCTATCTCTGCCACTCCCATTCCTAGGATAGTGCAAGAGGCCTTCTCAATACCACAGTGGAAGGATGCCATGAAGGTAGAAATGAATGCTCTTCTCAAAAATAATACATGGGAATTGGTTGATCAGCCGAAAGGGAAGAAACCGGTTGGGTGTAGATGGGTGTTTACAGTAAAACATAATGCTGATGGCTCTGTTGAGAGGTATAAGGCCAAATTAGTTGCAAAAGTGTTTAGACAAACTTATGGCATAGACTTCTTGGAGACCTTTGCACCGGTAGCCAAGATGAACACTATCAGAGTGTTATTGTCCATTGTAACAAATTTCCCATGGCCATTGTTCCAAATGGATGCTAAAAATGCCTTCCTCAATGGTGATCTGCAAGGGGAGGTATGCATGGAGTTACCTCCTAGATTCTATAGTATAGAAGTAGGGAAGAAGGTCTGTCGGTTGAATAAAGCCTTATATGGACTGAAGCAATCACCAAGAGCATGGTTTGACAGATTTAGACTAGCTCTTGGAAAATTCGACTATGCCCAAGTCCAATCACTCTTTTCATTAAGAAGATAGACTCCTCCTTGACTCTACTTGCTGTTTATGTGGATGATATTGTGGTGACAAGGAGTGATACCCATGAGATTGACTTTCTTAAACAACTGCTTCACAAAGAATTTGAAGTCAAAGACTTCGGAGAACTATGTTATTTCTTGGGTATTGAAGTAGTTTGGTCCAAACATGGAATTTTTGTCTCTCAAAGGAAGTATGTTATTGATCTTCTGGAGGAAATTGGAAAACTAGGTGTTAAACCAGCTGACACACCCATTGAACAAAACCACAAGATTAGAACTAAAGGTGGGGAGCCCCTTGAAGACAAGGCTATGTTTCAAAGGTTTGTAGGGAAACTGCTTTATATGTGCCTCACCCGACTAGACATTTCTTATGTAGTCAGTGTAGTTAGCCAGTACATGCATTCTCCCACAACCACTCATCTTCTTGTAGTTAAGAGGATCCTTGCTTACCTGAAGAGATGTCCAGGCAAAGGCATACTTTTCAAAAATAATGGTCACATGAAGATAGAAGTCTACACAGATGCTGATTGGGCAGGGTGTTTTGATGATAGGAGGTCTACTTTTGGGTATTGTGCCTTTGTAGGGGGCAACCTTGTCTCTTGGAAAAGTAAGAAACAAAATGTTGTAGCACGTCCCAGTGCTGAAGCAGAATACAGATCTATGGCACATGGTGTTGCTGAAGTATTATGGTTGAGGTCCTTGTTTGAGGAACTGGGAATTGCTTCTGAGAAACCCTTGATGCTATACTATGATAAACAGGCTGCTATTAACATTGCCCACAATCTGGTACAGCATGACAAAACTAAACATATTGAGGTGGATCGACACTTTATTGCCTCCGATATGCAGCTTGCTAATCTCTTCACCAAGACAGTTTCAAAAGCTAAGTTGGAAACATATTTACGTAAGTTGGGAATGATAAATATCTATTCCCATCTTGAGGGGGGAGTGTAGAGATGTAGAGCAATAATTAGTGCTGTTATTTTATTTATTGTGGTCCCCACTATTGCTGTTAGTTTTTTTATATTTGTTGTTAGGCTGCTGTTAGCAATGCTAGTTTATTAGTTGTTTTTTAGTTATTTGCTTATGTAAGCAGTAGGGGCTTTAATGTAATTGCCATCTTATTTTTAATGTTATTATAAATAGATGAGTGGGGCGGCAGCTATAGCCTATCACTCCTTTCTCTCATCTTTCTCTTCTCTCTTCTTTCTCCCTTTTTCTTCTTCTTCTCTTCTCCAGTCTTTTTTTTTCTTCTTAATCTGCATCAAGAATTGGACTGATAACAGTCCGGATTTGTCTACTGAAGTTCACCCCCAAGGAGTTCAAATGGACTCTGGTTGGAAAAGGAGGCAGAAGAGAAGAGACCTTCAGGAGATGGAGGCCAAATTCTACCATTAGATGAACTTTGATCTAAAAAGACATTTTCAAACTTTGACAGTAAGAGAACAAGGGTGAAGTCACACTCGTTATCCCTCAAATTCCTTGAAACCAAAATCCTTGTTTAACCCATATGCAAAGGTTATACCAAATTTATAAACTAGTTCAGAGTCTTCAGACTTATGGTTGGATATAGAATAGGGAATTGTATTTCAAGGGGAAAGTCACCAATCCAAAGGTCCTCCCAAAACAATACTCTATTCCCACACCCCACATCAAAACGAGTGAAATTAATAAAAGTTGGTAGTACCTCAACTCTTGCATTCCAAAGGGAGCTTGATGAAGTGTGAGGCACTAATTTTGCATCCCTGCCATTTTCTGACAAATAATGAATGCTTCCAAGGACCTTGTGCCATAGCCTTTCACCATCTAGGGGAAATCTCCAAATCCACTTTCCTAGTAGAGTTGCATTCCTCTTAATCAAATTACCATTGCCTAGTCCACTCTGTTCCTTAGATTTACACACTTGTTCTCATTTTACCGAGTGGTCTTTCTTCTCATCACCTAGTTCTCACAAGAAGTCTCTCATAGTCTCAACTTATGAACTAGGGGTGTAATCAAGCCGAGTTGAGTCGAGTCAAGTTTTGCGTGGCTTGAACTTGAGCTTGACTCAAAAACTTGGAGCTCGAGACTTGACTTGAGTTCGATCGAGTTTTGAGTTTCATACTCGAACTTGACTCGGCTCGAGCTAATTATAAATAAATTTCTATTAAAATTATAAATAAATTAATATTTAAAATATTATAAATAAAAAATATATTAGAAAAATCGATTAGATATTAAAAATTATAAATAAATCAATATTATAAAATGTTACAAATAAAAATATATTAGCAAACTTGATTATAAAATTGTTTATTTATATTATAAATAAAAATATATTAAGTTCAATTAGGCTGCCGAGCTACTCGAGCTGAGTATTACGAAGCTCGAACTTGGCTCGACTAACTAATCTTTTAGTTGAGTTTGAGTATTTGGCGAGCCGAGCCCGTGTAGCTTGCGAGTTGGCTTGACTCACTTACACTCCTATTATGAACTTTGGATGTCCCATTACAGGCTCCAACTTGGACTAAGAAATTGACTCAAAGCTACTTATACTTGTTTTAAAACTAAGACAAATCCATGGATGACCCGTAAGGACACTCCAATGAGGACACTAATTGTTGAAACAACTCTAATAACTCTTTACTGATCCCACTAAGATTTTAAAAGCACCAGAAATTACTAAAAATAGTAAATGTGTGTTTACCAAAATAGTAATTATGAAGATTACTATAACTGGTAAGTCCAAAAGTTACAACAAATAGCAATTTTGAGACAACATTAAAATTCTAAAAAGTTTATTCATGAGACTCCTGTTGAGAAGTTTAATTTTGTTTTATGAATGCTGGTGTGTCATCCTTGTCATCCTATGTTCTTACATGTTTTATCTTACAAGTTGTACACTCATTAGTAGGCAGCAGGGTATTTTTGCCATGTATTCATCACATAAATAATGAAGATTGGGGCTGCACACGCATCCCTAAAGAAGATTTTTCCCTCACTCTTTTGTCACTCTTCCTCCTCTTCTCTTCTCTCTCTCTCTCTCTACTTTTGTTTCTCATCTAATATTTCATCATATTTTCTTTTTTGGTTAAAAATCTAATCTGATTATATTTCAAAGTACTCCTACATGTTCAATAAAAAATATATCATAAGTAGACCCCGCTTTTAGTTTTTGCTAATTCTTATGTAAATTTCCTTCAAGATTTGAATGAGGGCAAAAGTCTTTTCCAGACCATTGCTTCCTTCTCTTCAGTTCTGTTAGCTTCCAAAGAGGCTCAAACTGATCTGACCAAGTGCATGCTGTTGCATCAACAAGCTTGTGTCTTAGCTTCTAGGATGTGCATCTTGTTCAGTTGGATACCAAGGTTGGTTAGTTCATGAGCAGGTAGCTTGGCCAAGAGCAGACTGGGAAGATACAAATTGTATCAGGGCTCATCCATGCCAGAATAAACTTTATATTTTTATCTGTATATGTATTTTGAGTATTGATATATATATATATATATATATATATATATATGGGTGGTTCTTTTTTTTTCGGGTTCTTCTTGTTCCTTCTTTGAGGCTCTTTATACGTGTACAGTTACCCTCTTATGATCTTCAATAACTTCCATTACTGATAAAAGGAAAAAAAATTAGGGCCTATTCCTTATCATTATGGTCTTTTATCATTTTAATTTTGAAAAGAAAAATGTAGAAAAATTTACAAATATATACTTTTGCAACCATAAACCACTTAATTTATTCATGAATTTTCAGCCTCAAGCTCTTTGTAGTTACATGATGTTCTGCATGTTAATGTTTCCATTGTAGTTGCTCATTTTGTTGGCAAATTTCTCTCAAGCCAGAACAATATTTATTTTGAAGGCTATGCTGCAATTGGGTTTTGAGTTTATTTACTCATACAGCTTATTCCTTTATTATTTTGAAGCCTTGAGAATGCTGGTGAAAATTCTGTGCTTCCCATGCTTCGATCTGTTAGATTTGTTTTGGGAATTTCTGCATCAGAAAGGATCTCTTCGCTTGTTTCCTCATGTGATGGTTTGGATATCCAGGTTTAATTCATCTACTTGTCAACATGATTTATACTATTTATGTGTATCTCTGTAATTTTCTGCATTCATTCTTGATTCAAGATATTCTAGTTATTTATGCTGCCTTTTGTCAATAGGCCTGTTCTCTGCCTTAGTTTAGACATGAGGTTTCTAGTAGGGTTTTCTTGAGGATGAACACTTGATTGCAGCCATGATGTCACAATGGAATCATTTCTTCTTTCCAATTTCTTCAGAGGCCTTTACTTGGACTTGGATAGTTATTAGTAACCTAATGTTTTTATAGACTTCTAGATGGCCAAGAAAAACTTCTTTATCTGTATCTTCAAAGTTATTAGCAATTCCAACATCTCTGAGGATTGAGGCCTGATCCAGTGGAGGATCACCTCCTTTGCAGTCTTTTTGGGGGATGTGAAGGGAATTAATTGGATTATCTTTGGAAGACTGTGGAATCTACCTCCAAAAATGATAAAAAAACTTTGTTCGTGCATCATGGATGGCATGTTGATATTGAAAAGGTTCAAATGTTCAAGGAGTAAGATTTCGTTTGACTGGTTGTGCTCAAGGATACTGTTGAAATATTTTAGTTATTTGTGTTAGGGTCTGTTTGGCTAGTTAAAGCGTTTTTTTTTTTTTTTTATTTCTGTTATTTCTGTTATTGTACTCACTTACAGCAGGGGCACAAGGGTCTTTTCCCTTCTTATTTCTGCCACCCTATATAATATAATAAA